ATCAGTAAGTTTATAAATAGAATTGTAAATAAATAAGTAGAATTGTAACAAGCTGCGGAAATCTTACCACCAGATGAGGACGCCCTCTGGTTATTTTGACTGCCCCCCCCCTCCGGAAGTGGCATCTCATGCAAACATTGATGCTACTGTGGCCAAATAGACTCACGAAAATGACTTGACACTCACCATGCTGCTCTATAAGCTTCTCTTGCAATTTTGCTATATATTAACATTCTGGGTTAATAAAGCAGAGGGGTATTTATTTAAACTATCCCCACTGGATGAGTATTTGTGTTTTCAATAAGTACTTAAAGTAGTGGTTCTCAACCTTCCTAATGCCCTGACCCTTTCATACAGTTCCTCATTTGTGGTGACCTCCAATCATAAAATTATTTTTGTTGCTACTTCATAACTGTAATTTTGTTACTGTTATGAATGGTAATGTAAATATGTTATACAGGATGTATTTTCATTGTTACAAATTGAACATAATTAAAGAATAGTGATTCATCACAAGAACACATATAATTGTATATTGTGAAATATTTATTTCAAACTACAAATAAATGAAATTTTGTCTTGAAGCATGGTGTAGCATGGGCAATAGTCTTCATGCTGGGTATGCGTATGTGGGTGCATCTGCATGTGGGCGGACCCACCTGGAGACAGATAGAGGAGCTGTGTGTATGTGGGCATATCTGCATGTGGGTGGACCCACCTGGAGACAGATAGAGGAGCTTTGTCTCGGTTCCTAAGACTATCAGAAATGATGTGTTTTCTGATGGTCTTAGGAGACCCCTGTGAAAGGGTCGTTCGACACCCCCACCCCCCAAAGGGGTCGCGACCCACAGGTTGAGAACCGCTGACTTAAAGGAACAGTGTGCATCCATCTTAGTCCACTTGTCTAAAAGTCTAAAGATAATTCCTAGACATGAAGCTATTGAGTCAAGGGTATATGCCTGTAAGTAATTCTTCTCATACTGGCCCTTGAAAGAGGGACAGTGTCTTATGGGTCTTTGAGTTATTTTTCCCTTGATGACTATTTAGGTGGAATGGATTTATCAGGACCTTGTGCATCTTGTTAACTGTTTCTTCCTAGTCTTTGATTTTTTTCCCTTCTTTTAAATATCAAGATCCTTAACTTATCAGGAAGAATTCTTGGTACTCTGGGGAATATTAAGTGTCTGATATGCTTCACATAGTGTACCTGGTCATAATAAAAGTTAGTTATGTGTTCCAGGTTATGGGAGGTGTGCATTTTATTGGCTTTGGTATCACATTTTAAAAAGCAGTCTACACCCCAAGATGATCATAATAGTTACCTATATTTTCTTTTCTAACTTCATTAGTTTCACTCTTGTCTCCTTTACTCATTGTCCAACTTTCACATGCATATGAGATTATTGAAAATAATACTTTCCACAGGAATCTCACCACAGGACCCCCAGCAGAGGATGAGGGTCCTAACCTCCCTACACCTTCTCCAGAAT